AACAGGCGCTGTGCCAGTTCGAGCGTGGCGCCCCGGAGGGCCTTCTTAGGGTTTAGGGTTTAGGGTTTTAGGGTTTTAGGGTTTGAGGGTTTTAGGGTTTGAGGGTTTAGGGTTTTAGGGTTTGAGGTTTCAGGGTTTAGGGTTCAGGGTTTAGGGTTTTAGGGTTTTAGGGCTTGAGGGTTTAGGGATAAGGGTTTCAGATTCAGGGTTTAGGGTTCAGGGATAAGGTTTTCACGTTCAGGGTTTAGGATTTTTTGTTTACCTGAACCCTACCTGGAACCACAGAGTGCGCAAAAATATGTGTTTTCTGGGCTGGTTGTAGAGGTTTCGGGCCATGAGTTTGTCTACTTTGTTGTTGTAGGTAAGGATATGTAGAATATTTGCCTTTTGGCTGTGTTTTTGGGGAGATGGATTTTGGGCCGTTGTCTCGCTTAATATGCAGGTCCCAGGTTTAGGAGTTTTGGGTTTGTTTAGGGTTGGTTTTGGGGTTTGAGGCACATCCCTATGCCGCCCCCGCAGACCCCAATCAACAAATTCCGCGTCCTAAATCTAGGAACTAAACCTGAACACCTGATCCTCCAACCTAGATGGATATGATCCTTCTAAACGACCCTAAAACTTCTCGAGAGTTGTAAGGATAAGCCCATTGTGAGAAACTCACACATCTCAGCCTGCAGCTAATCCCTCAACCGCAGAGCTTCTGTGTTCAAACAGAAGTTTCCGGGCTGTTCTGAGGTTCAATGTACTGTAGGAAGCTGCTGGTCCTGGATTCCTTGTATAACTGTGGTATAGGGCGATTCAAGATAATCTGGAACGCACAGGTAAAAGGACAGCAGTCTTTACAAGGGCCCTTGCTGAAGTTTCATGTGACTTTGGACAGTGCTTTGGTTGTCATGAACTCGAATGGTTCTTCCCGCACCATCCAGCACTCACGTAGTTTCTTTTTGTTCAGAGAACTTTGTCAAAACAACTTTCTTTTACAAAAGCTGAAATTTGGCTTAGAAACGCGAGCGCGGCAAGTCGTGCGCAAAAGTTAAGGAACATGCGCGGCACGTTCTCCACCCATTGGAATGCAAACTTCTTTCATGGAATTTCGTCAACAAAGCTTCTTGAAAACATCAGAAACTTGGCTTTTGAAACGCGATCGCGGCAAGCCGTGTGCAAAAGCTAAGAAACGCGCACAACCCATCAGATGAAAGCCTTACTCTAAACTAAGCTCTACTTGATTTTATGGGTCTTCCGGGTTTGACTGCAGCCTAAACGCGAAGCGCGATTTGTGTCAGGCTTGGCTGGGAGCATGGAGGGGGCGCAGTTTAGGCTTTCGAGGATCGTGCAACTTCAACAAGAATTTCACAAGTTCCATTGATTTGAGACACTCGCTTCCATTTGGGGCTGGGCGGGAATCTGTTTCAGAGTTTCTTGGCTGAGCAGCGGGCCCCAAGTAAACTCACAGGGCCCTATATACCACCATTCTCTCCATGTAGGCCTTCACGAACCTTTATGGAATGGTACCCACGTAGCAACTTCCCATTTCCAACCTGTCTTGGACCCCTTGATTCGGCCACATGGCACCAGATCCTAACCCTACAACCTGAGGATTTAGGGTTTAGGGCTTGGGGTTTAGGGTTATAGGGCTTAGAGCTTAGGGTTAACCCTAAACCATAAACCCTAAACCCTAAGGGGTAAGGGTTTAGGTTTTTTGAACTGCAGGAGATGATGAGATCACATTGCGTGACAACCACCTGGCCTTCCAAAGGATCACCATGCGCCCGCGCATCCTTGCGACTTGGCTGTTACGACGGGGTTAGGGTTTAGGGTTTAGGGTTTGGGGTTGAGGGTTTGGGGTTTAGGGTTTAGGGTTTTAGGGTTGAATGTCCAGGGGCTCAGGACTTGGGAGTTTTTTTTCCGGTAGTTAGCGGTACCTTTCAAGGGTCCCTCTGGTAAGGTTTTTTGTCAATTGGGGTCCCCCTATTTAGGGGAACTACCACTTCGGGGTCACGACCTAGGGTGTAGGGTTCAGGGTCTAACCCAGACCCCTGATCAATAAACCCCCTCCCCGTGATATCCGTCGTGTCTATGCACGAAATCACTCATGAGCCTATATGAGCTATAGTCTAAACTCCTGGAATCCCCCTATATTATATATATACCCCATAGTGGTCCCCCATATAATCCCCTACATACTCCCCCTTTAAGGAGTTTTAGATAATAGCTCATAGACCTACCTTAGACCCCCAACACCTTCAGGTTGTTCGCTTCATGCGGGCGAGTGAATCTATCTAGGTAATGCAGGATGCGTCGATCAACCATTTCACTCAAGGTCCAAGGACCCCAAAAAGGGGTTTTAGGCCCCAAATACAATAATATGAATGGTATGCGGGCCCTGAAGCCCTTTTTTTTGTCCTTGGTCCCTTAGGGGTTAATGCAGGGTCGGTCGGTCAACCATTTGCAAATGCGCAAGAAACCTGGAAGGCCCTGCGGTAAACTTGGTCTCAGGAATTGTGAGACTAGAGTGGTGCCAGATTTTCCTCCATGAGCAGGATAAATAGAAGACAAGCTTCACGCTCTGTTGAAGTGCTTACGGCCCAAACCCTCACCATACAAGAGCCAGCGCACTCTCCCTGGAGGAGACGTTTTCTTAGCGTAAGTGGAGGTCCGTGGGACTTAGCAAGCATTTACAACCCTACAAGGGTCATGGAATACAGGGCTAATTGCGGAGCTCATAAGTAGGGGAAAGCCCCCGCTTTCAACTTACGATGTCCCTTGAACGCGATGGGCAATTTCCAGCCCGTAAATACCTCCTGGTTTCCCCCTTTAAGGCTTTGTATAAACCCTGTTAAAGGGTGCATCTGGCAAGTTACCTTCTGAAATTTGGCTTAAATCCTAGCCCAAGAATCCTTATATACCCTAAAGCCGAAAACCCGGAAGAGTTTCCAGCAGTCTACTAAGGAAGGAAAAAGCTCGGGTTATGATCAGGTAATAGCTTGTCGGTTGCCTGCACCTGGAAAAAGTAGGTTTAACATGGCCTGAAACCCATGAGTCAAAAAAAACACATCCTAGATACTTTGGGGTTCCAGGTAAGGATAAGACCAGGGCTTGGTAATGTGATTACGTAGCCAGCAGCACCCCTGATGCCGTGAGGTGAACGTCCGGGAGATTGACATGACCACGCCACTTGATCGCATGTTGAACGCTGCCTACTCGCTGCCTACTGTTGATACTGAAAAGCCTGCGTCACCCCAGTATACTATAGTACCATAACTCCGAAGGTGTAAGGTACCCAAGGTCATGCAGGATGTTTGGTATCCACCGTAGTGTTCATTCAGGACTTAGGGTTTATATGGTAAAGGGTGAGGGTTTGGGGTTCAGGGTATCGGGATGGCAGTATCTACCTAGACCCTGGTACCCTACCTCTTTTACAGCGTACCTAACTTCGTATACAGATGCTACTAGGGGTTTAGGGTTTGGGGTACTAGCTATGAAAGCTAGGTATCCTAGAACATGGGGTATCACTAGAGTCGAGTAAGGGGACTCCCAGACACGGACTCAACAAGTTTTGCCCTTGATTTGTTGGCCTTTCCCTAGAAGCCCAGGTACCCATATAGTAGGTTATAGATAGTACAGATAGTATACCGAAGGACAGGAACCCAATATATAGGTAACTGGGCTTCTAGGGTTTGTTAAGGCCTTACCGCCATGAACATCTGTCACTGAGATCCTGCGTACATCTAGCCTAAAAAGATGGCTAAGAAGGGTCTGGGCGTGTTGAGATTGCTCCAAGCACTAAACCCTAAATCATAATCCGCCTTTACTCTCCGGCCGAAGTTGACTTGCTTATTTCAGGGGTGCAGATAGTTCAAAGGGTGTATGACTCTCCCTGAGGGTCCAAGGACCCAAATGATAGGGCTTTATAGGGCCCAAATACTATTAAGAGTAGAGTATTTTGGGCGCGAAAACCCTGTTATTTGGGTCCTTGGAGCCTCAGGGTCTGGTAGATCTCCACGTAAGGGGCCCTTTGTTAAGGGTCAGGCGGACTTCGTAAGTTTTGGGGTCATTCGGGATGTTTGAGGTATCAGCTGTAGGAGACTACCCAGGATACGGCTCCTTTCCGTATTGACAAACTCTAAACCGTACAAGCCCAAATTAATCCAAAGGGTCCATGTAGGATTATGGTATATACTAAGGTTTACAGGGGTTCCAATATACCTACTTTAAGGCCCAAGTATATGCCATATAGCTACATGGACCCTTTGGGTACTTGAGCCGGAAACAGGCCTGGGCCAAAAGCACTGTATATTCTGAGCCCTGAAGAGCTAAGCCTTAAACCCCCAAAACCTAAATTCCTCACCCCACACAGTAATTTGCAAGCCTAGATAGATACACATTGTGTGTGGGGCAACAGTGAAAAACTTCCACCCTGACCCCCTTGGGTTTGGGGTTCAGGGTTTAGGGTGCTTAGGGCTGGGAAGTAAGTTATCATGACACGCCGTCCCTTTGATTCATCAAATGTCCATACCATGGTTAGTAACTTAAGCTCCTTCCCCTGAGGGCCCAAGGAAATGGTAAGCCGTTAGGTCCCAAATATCATGTCTGACTGATTATTGTTGGGACTTAGAACCCTAATCGTTGAGTCCTTCGGTGGATAACAGAAAATCCTCCATGACCTTAAGTACCTTATACTTGGAGAATTATGTTGTTACATTATACTAAAGTCTTGAAGGTTGGTAGCATCAACAGTCCCACATTTAGAGTTAACAGCAATTCAGCAAAACCCCAAATGTTTTTTTAAATCCCAAGCCAAAGATTACAAACTCTAAACATAAACCCTTAACCCAAAACCCGGAAAGGAAGATCCTGGGTGTGCCGGCCTCCCTGCCTCTCTACTTCACCGCCACGGCTTTGGCCAAGCTGGCCCACCAGGCAGCCTGTGCTAATTGAGGGCTTCTTCTTAGTGTTAAGGGTTTGGGATTCAGGATTTAGAGTTTAGGGTCTGGGGTTCAGGGTTTTTAGCGTTCAGGGTTTGGGGTCGGGGGTCTGAAGTCTATAGGGTTTGGGTCTTGGGGTGTAGGGTTTTCCCCTTGTTTCTCAGGTGCTTTTGAATAGAAAGACTCCTTCTCTCAAAGCTTTGCATGTTCCGGGGGAAAGCGGGGGCGGGCATGAAATAGATGCTTTCCAGTCATTTTAGATATTCCACTATGTTGCCCAAAATCTTCCGATGTCCTCTTGTTACATCTTTCCACATGTAGCGTAGCTACATCCGATATTCCGAGGTATTGCCTGTGGCTTGCCCCAATCCGAAAACCCTAAACCCTATAGCCTCAAGTTCTTGATAGTCGATTGCTGCTACCCATGAGGAGCTCCCTGGATGCTAAACCCCTAAGCCCTAAACCCCAAACCCTGGGGCTTAGGGCTTAGGGTTTAGGGTTTAGGGCTTAGGGTTTAGGGCTTAGGGTTTAGAGTAGGGTTTAGGGTGCCTGAAAAACACACATGCCTTCTGGCAGTCTGACCTTCAAGCAAAGATGCACAAGCCCCAAAACCGCATGTCTAAGGGTTTTAGGGTTTAGGGTGAGCCGCTAGCATGGGCACTTGATTCAGGAGTCAGTGTCTATCTTCTATTGTATACACTAGAAGACCCAACAGACCAACTAAGGGCCCATGTGTAGGACCTAGAAAACAATCAACGGCCCATGTTAGCTGTTAAACAATAACCGCCTGCATCAGCTCTATCACCTGGGCGCCAAACTCTATGTGAATGTCCAGGTATCCTAATGTTGCAGTGTTGGGTACTTGTATCAAAAACCTTTCTTGCTGCAGCATTGAAGGCCCTTGTACCTAAACCCTAAACCTACTTCTGGGATCCAGGTAAAGGCTAATGGAACTTAAGAACTATCTGCTGGGTTTGTACCCATAAGCCGGGGTTATAACCCTACTGACTATTGGGGCGGTCCACATACGGCCAGTTAGGTAGATTATAAAAGGTGGGGTTATAGTCCCCCTTAAGTAGAATATGGTTTCGGGGTATACTATAATAAGACTCCGTATGCCCCATATTCTATCTACTTAAGGGGGAGTATATGAGCCCAGTTATAGGAGCCTTCCAGTTCAAGAGGTCTCCTCGCATCTGAGCTGGCCCGCTAAGTTGTCCTCAAACTGTGAAGGGCCTTTTCCGTTGCATGAGGGGGGCCACCGCCTAGCCGGAGCAGTACGGCGACCCCGAGGATCCCGAAGAGAAGTCTCAAAGAAGGACCTCTGACTGTTGGAGGCAGCAGAACACCTAACTCAAATTCGAACATGCGGATTCTCAAGCGAGGGTAAGCCATCACAGAAGAACCTGAAGTAAAAACATGCTGTCGTCGAACTGCCTTGACCATTCAAGAACAACCGGTGCCCACACCAGAACGTCACCAAGCTGGGGTCTGCCGTCGAGACCCATCAGGCGCCTTCCGACACCCAACGAGCCTAAACGAGAGATCCCTGCCACTTCGCCGGCCAGAAATAAATCGCGGCCCAGTGCGGTTTCCAACGCTCGTACGCGTGCCACAAATCGTGAAATGAGGTCCATAGTTGTAACTGGAATTTGCTGTGCTTCACTCGAGCGAAAATCATGAAAAACCTGTCCTGCCCCATCTGAAATTGGCACAGGTGGCAGTTTTCGGCTCATCATCGTGAACCACAAACAGTTCCATATACGTGACGTCCAATGGACACTCGTCCATCTGTGGCCGGCAAGGCCATATCAGCTGCTGCAAGTAGTGTAAAAGCAACCTGTCATATTCCTGTTCAGCAGGCTGTCCCACAATGCGCTGATCCGCATCACTTGGGACATTGGGCGAAATACCTTCATTGATGGAATACTCATTCCACTCATGAAAATATTCTTGAACTGCTCTGCCAATGCTTTCTGCACCTTCAACGGGGCCTGGGAGATCCGGCAAATTTTCCATGCGGTCAATGACAGCAACGTTGAGTTCAATCAAGTATCTGGAAAAGGCAAGCAAATGATCAAGCTGAAAGCGCGCATCTGCCGCGATGCTGTCAGAAGCCTGAACCACTGCATCCATTTCCTGTGTGCGTGCCATTCGAGCTGCTGCGTCTGCCACTTCGTTACCCATTGTAGACCAGCGAAGAAAGACATCTGCACTAGGTTCACGGCCTGCCGCATTGTGCGCCTTGGCTTTTCTCAACTCAATCCGAGGCGAAACCGGAAAGTGCTGCATGAGATCTGTGGAGCCACATTGACCGAGCATGATACCAGACTGGGCCTGCCCCCATTGATCTATTGCATATTGGGAATCAGTGAAAATGATTGCGTGAACATGCTCATCTTGTAATGCCCAGTTCGCTGCCCAGACCACTGCCGCCACTTCGGCGCGAGGCACGGTCTGCGCCCGTGGTGTACACCCCTGTGCAACCACCCTAAACCCTGCAACCTTATCTTGAAGAGGCAAAGAGTCCCATCCCTGAAGGTCATAAAGATCCCGTACATTATGGCAGTGGACAACTGACCAGTAAGTAAGTCTGGCTTCAGGACAAGTACCATTGTGAGCCCCATCGGTAAAAATAAACACATTACGGGAAACCTGAGGCGGGGCAACCAAAGGGGGCAAGGACCTAGACCCACAAACTAACCTAAGGAAAGGAGCGTCCTCGGGTTCGCTCGCTGCTAGCAGGTACGCCCACCACGGATAGTGGTGTTGAACCTGGGTAACAATCTCAGCGTGATCCTGGCGAACATCAGTCATCGCCTTACACGTACACAGGCGGTGATGTTTAGTGTCGAACTCCCCACACAACTCACATTCCGTCCCAGCTACCCTGGATCATGTAGCCTTTTCGGCATTTGAAAGGAAGGCCCCCGTGATGTGGCGAGCTAGGATCGTCTGCTCCCACGGTTGAAAATGCTGGAACAATTTTTGTGTGATGGCTCTCGATGGTAATGGGAAGTGCTGAAGGCCGGATCTGCCTTGGAGTGCTTCTTGGACCTCCAAAGCCCATGACAACTGAATGGCCAACTTAATTTCAGTAGGAGATGAAGTGTAGACATTAAAGGACACATTGCCTGGCCCCGCAAACTTGCCATCAACCTTAATTGTCCAGCCCGTACGTCCGAACATTTGCTGCAGTGCAGTACCAGGACCATGAACCGTTAAGGGGAATCCTGGGCGGGAGGCAATTTTCAGGACGGCGCCTGCAACCTCGGGCATAAGCCGCGCTGTCCGGGCAAGGTGGCAAGCTTGGTAAGACATGAGGTAGGTTTCAGGGTCCGACACCCCCGGCACAAAATACATGGCAGCCATGGGCGACAAGGTGTGGTGTCTACCCACAATAGCCCTGGCCGCATTTGATCGCAATTTATGCTGCCTTTGTCTTCCAGGGGCTACAGTCAAAGCCCCATAAAAAGCAAACGGCCACACTCCGGCCTGCACCACGTGGGCTTTGACTGTTAAGGGACTAGGATCGTGGTAAAGTTTGTGCAACCTCTCAACTGCCTGATCAAAGTTGTCGATTAGGTGCCCAAGGCCTCTTCTTTTACAGAAATTCAGATGCGATCCAAGTTCGCGAACCTGATGGAAGACCGGAACAGAAATGCCTGGCGGCAGAAGATGACTGGATCCTTTCTTCCACCAGGCGCGTTGGGCAGCATGTGTCGCCCAGAAATAGGTTTTTCCCCAGTCAATCTGCATTTTGGTGGCATTCACCAAACTCTGGAGCTGATCAAGGGCCGGACCATGGCATTCCTGCAAGTCCGTCGACCATGCAAGGTTATCGACATACGCAGTCGGTGCCACACATGGCTGCAAAAGGCACACATCCAAGACCGAGAGGGGATCTCCCTCAGGTATGCCTGTTGTACTGTGCAGTGGCGGGCCGAGATGGTCATGAACCTGAAAACTACGGTGCAAGTTTTTAAGGCTGCCCAACCAAAAAGAAACCATAGGAGCAGGGATACCCAAAACCCTCATCAATTCCCCAATAGGTGCTCTGGGAAGAAGATTGAAAGCTTTTCTGAGATCGAGAACCAACCCTGAAGTAGGGACATTTTCAAGAGTATTGGTTTCAGCAATTTGCTGCAACCAATACGAAATGTCCTGCGCGCACCTACCCTTGAGGCATCCCCTGATACAAGGCGGGAGGCTGTACGACCATCTGTAGATTATCTGCTGGCAGAGGACCCTGGCCCAGAGACGATACAAGTTGGAAAGAACTGTGATAGGCCGTGACTGTGCTGGGGAAGTGGGGTTAACTGTCTTGCCTAGCACCGCCACCCTTGCCTGCATAAGCTCAGCGGGGAAGCCCTGAAGTTGGGGCGAATTCAGAATGGCAGCCAAGTCGGCTATTGCTGCTTCAGGCAACACCCGCAGGTCGGTATTGTGCCACCCGCAGACCCCAGTGGCCTTCTTCCGTGGAAGCCGACGAACCGCATGCACCCAAGCGGAAACATCACGCATATTGACACTAATGTGGGAGCAAGGGGAGGAATGACCCTGGAGAAGATCCCGAAACTGTGGCCATGCTTCAAGATCCCATTCCTCAGTCCGACTATCCCGGCACCAAAATTCAGACCAGAAATCAGTTAATGCGCTTGAAATTCCTTGCGGTGTACAATCTGCTTGTTCTTGCCAAAGGTATACCTGCCTAGGGAGCACGATGTCATCATCACTAGCAAAGACAATGCGGACTTGGCCGTCCGTGACCTTGTAAATTTGTGCGCATGTGCCCGCAACATAGACAGGTTGATGAAGCAACAACGAGCCTGCTGCTGCGAAGTTGTACGTGCGACGACCCCAATCTGAACTGGAAATCTCGGTTGCAAGGCCCTCAACCTTTTTGAAGACCATACGAATTGTTTCCGGAGGAGGGGGCTTTATCCGCACAAAGCTAGGGGAAGCCGAACGTCCCTTTGCGCCAACTGTGACCTG